GAGATAAAGGTGGGTGCTTATCTCGAGAGACTGTTTGGGACTCATTACAAGCTGGGAATGAGCATAATTCCCAGCGTTGAAATAAAACAAGAGTTGTTTGGACTAAGCATGTACTTAATTACGGTCTCAGGAAGCTTTGATCAGAACAATGATCTGCCCTGCTTTCAGGTAGCAACTGTAAGTGACGAAGAACATTCTTTCATTTGAACTGTGAATCTGGGTCTTTGTTCTAAAGGGCCCTGCCGCCACCGCCACCATCTCTGCCGATCCATCAAGCCAGAAAGGGTGGAGGCCACTGAATTAAAACTAGGCTGCTCACCCATCCTTTCTCCAGGGATGAATTCAAGAAAAAGGAGGGATTTTACAGCAGGGATGCAAGTAAATCGAGTCTCCATGGGTGAATAGGCAGCAATATAAATCAAAGAAAGAAAGAAAGAAAATAAATCATACACAAATTTTGCAGGGTACTAGCTTATCTTCCTGAATGTTCCTTCTGTTATTGCAAGCAGTGCTGTTTTCTGTAACAACTAAGTAAAATTGTAGTGAGCCAGCCAAAGTCACTGGGAGTTGACAACAAATAAATTTAATAATAAATAAATAAACAAATAAATAAATAAATCTTCCTCGGAGGATGGGTGTTGCCTGTTCCTTATAATGTTACCTCCCATTGTGAGAAGAGGCATTTGAAACATACTTTTGGGTAGGTTGGAAGCAGAAGCTGAAAGTCCTTGAAGAGATGGCAGAGCTAAGGGACTTCTGCGTTTTCAGCGTTCTGGTGACTGGATCCGATCGAGGGATCGGTCTGGGTCTGGTCAAGAGGTTTCTGGAGCTGCCTTCTCCACCCAAATGGGTCTTTGCTACCACCCTGGACCTGGAGGGAGAAGAAACCAAGGTAAGAATCGGTTAGCACAGGATGGGTTGGAAATCGTGATTCAGAATTTGAACTGAGGCTGACTGTCCGTCTTGCATTCTGAGCCTTCCAGGAATATTGCAACCCACATACAATGACACACCAATTATATCCTTTTTTGTTGCAGCAAGGAATGCTGAGCAAAGTACACCTTGAGTTCATTCTATTTGAATTGTATATTCAAGTAAACATAGAAAGCATTCGTTTTTCTTAAATACTATTCACTTTACTTTTTATGCATTAACTCTTTTTATGACTGCATAATCGGTATTAGCAATAGCAACAGCACTTAGACTTATATACCACTTCACCATGCTTTTACAGCCCTCTCTAAGCGGTTTTACAGAGTCAGCATATTGCCCCCAACAATCTGGGTCCTCATTTTACCGACCTCGGAAGGATGGAAGGCTGAGTCAACTGTGGACTTGTGAAACTCGAACTGCCGGCAGCCAGCAGTCAGCAGAAGTAGCCTGCAGTACTGCATTCTAACCTCTGCGCCAGAGGTGGTATTCAGCAGGTTCCGACCAGTTCTGGACAACAGGTAGCAGAAATTTTGAGTAGTTTGGAGAACCAGCAAATCCCACCTCTGACTGGACATTTTACAGTATCGTTCCCCTGCCACACCCACCAAGCCACGCCCACAGAACTGGTAGTAAAAACATTTGAATCCCACCACTGCACTGCGCCAATATGTGGTTATTTCTCCCTCCCCTCTTTCTGGATAGAAATATTTTCTTTTTTCTTATTTACAACCAAAAATATTTTTAAAAAGCAATACCATTCAAAGCACAGGAATAGAGCAAGCAGGAGGGCAACACGAATTACTGTAAGGCATAATGCAAGAGCTAACTGAGATTGTGAAAAGAATATATGATGAAATCTAACTCACATCGACAAGATTCATGACACCTATACTTGATTTTGTTAATCTTTCCAAGCCTTCCTCCTTGCTCTCACTGCCTAAATACCCTGTTTCGTGCATTGTCTCCAAAGAGGTGGGGACTACAGTGAAGAGCCATTCACCAAGATTTACACCTATATTGAAACCAAAACAGCTTCCTACGTTGATTAGCTATGTTTATCTTCAACAATGGCATTGCTGGATGGACTTTAATCTTATAGTGGGGGGCTCCTCTTAAAAAGCTTTGAATCCACAGGAGTATGTAGAGGGTTTGAGGGGAGCAATACATGGGTTAAGTTGGGTTAAGTTGAATGAGCTAAGATCCTAAATTGCATTAAGCCTTAATTTAGTTTTTTAAGTGTTGTTTTGTTCAGTCAGAATTGTTCCGCCTCTCATGAAGTAGAAATCGCCCACTGTTCCTGCTTTTGAAATTGTCCATTTTGGCATCCAGCTCATAATATTATCTGTGAATGTGAATTCACAGAAAAATATATGATCTCCTTTTTCTCCAGGAGCTGAGAGAATTGGCTTGCAAATATCCAAATCTGGTGGTGTTGCAATTAGGTAAATTTCAAGAGCCTTGTGAAAACAGAGCAAATTTGGCACTACGGGAATGTCCAGAGCAACTATTTCAAAGTTATTCTCGGAATTAACCAAAGATGCAACATCATTAGCTGTGTTCCCTTAAGTCCAATTCCCACAGAGAAAATAAATTAACTTACATGCCTCCATATGTAAAAACGGATTTCCACAAAGAATGTTTTGAATAATTATGTATCATGATGTAACTGTGGCTCCAAGCTGTTCTGCAACTTTGCTGTTGAAAGACATCACAGATATAGATATGGTCAGATAATTAATCAACAAATTTAATTGTTGTTGGTTGTGGTTGGGTTTACTGTGGTTTCTTTGAGTTGGGGTAGACTGTTGTGTGACTCCACTAGTTAAAAATAAACAAAGTAATCCCTCTTCTAAGAGGTGGGCAGTCAGATAAAGCTCCATGCATGGGGATCTGACATAAGGTAACACCTGCATCTTTCTGCTTTGAGAAGGGAAGAGACAGTACGTAGCAATGTTTGTCAAAATTAGCAGCTTTAAGAAATGTGGACTTCCAATTCCCAGAACTGAACTCCAAACTGTTCTGGGAGTCAACAAACTAATGGAATCTCTTTTCAGCCCTGATAGATTGCCCCTGATTATATGTCAGGCAAACTTTATATTAGCTCAAAGAGCTCAGGAAGATATCTTATGTATCTTGGCATTTTAATTATTTATTCAATTTCTATAGCCACCTATCTCAATGCCATTGACTCAATTGTTGGTCTGGGCTTGAGTGTTGTAGAAACAGTTGCAAATTTATACAATAGATTTTGATTTTATAGCCGCGACTTGGGTATCATGTGTAAAAACTGTCTGTCAAGCGCCAAATCAGGCAGTTCAAATGGATATAAAGATTCATTGCAAACTGAAGCTGTCTACAAGAATCTGAACTATTAACAGCCCAGTCAAACTGGCTGTAGATAAGAGTCACAGGGATTCAAAGTGGGCTGGACTTAGATCTCTCGTGAGCATGAAGGGATTTGTGTCTAATGATCTGTTTGACCCTTCTCTTGGACTCAGCCGGTCATCTCCTACACCAGGATGTCAAACTCAATTTCATTGAGGGCCACATCAGGGTTCTTCTTGACCTTGGGGGGGGGAGTAGTGGGCATGGCCAGCTCAATGTCACTCATGTCAAGGGCACCTACAGTGGCCTGAGCTCTCTGCCAGAAAAAACGGGCTCTCACATTCCGTTTTTCCCTGCGACGGCCTCCTGAAACCCTTTGCCAGTGAAAATGGAGCTCAGGGGGACCTCCATTTTCACTGGCACCGTAGGCCAGTCCTTCACTGTTTCCAGGGTGGGCCACAGATCTAAGCATCCTGTGGGCCAGATCTTGCCCCCGGGCCTTGAGTTTGATACCTCTGTCCTACACCATCTGAATTAAATTGACTTTAGTCCTACATGGGAATCAGTTCAGAGCCAAGTGATTAAGTCAGCTTTGTGTGATCATAAAAGTTGTTGCCTTTTTTTAAAAAAAAATGCCTTCAACTGCTGGGGAAGCTGCTATTCCAGAAGGTGGTTATAGTTGCACAAAGAGACACAGGGACCTATGGTTTCAGTTAATTCTTCCCTTGCAATTCTGAAATTCCACATTGCTGGTGTTGAAATAAAATTGCTTTTCGTTAGATGTTACTAATCTTGAAAGCATCCAAGTGGCTCAGAAAGAAGTGGAGCAGAGAAATGGATACTGGAGAAGGTGGACTGACCATCCTGTATAACAACGCTGGTGTTTGGATCTTCAACAATCTGCAAACAGAAAATGTGAA